TATATATATATATATACACACACACACACACACACACACACACACACACACACACACACACACACATATTTAATGAAAGCATCCGGACCGCCCGGTGATACTCAGGGCTGTGACTTCATTAGTGTCCCTTTCGAGGTGGCTTTGTGGCGATGGGACAGCCTGCACGCATCTGCATCTGACACTAAATCAAAAGATGATTTCATCCAAAGCATGGAGAGAAGAACTATGTCCCAAAAAACACAGAATTAATCCCTTATTCTACTCAAGCTGTTTTAATAATCGTATTCAAAACCAATGCAGAGTGTAAAAAAATAACGTAAAGAAATGACACATCAGTAAAATAACATTTCAGTTTGGCGATCTCTGAAACTAACAAACATGTGTCTGTCACAAAAAAAGGAGGGAAAAGGTCAGTTGCTTGGAGTTATTACTGAAAAGTGAGGAACATTTTAGCAGATTGATTCAAGTAAACGAGCGAAAAACCGTAGCCACCATATTGCTTAAGTGAACTTATAAACAAGCACCTAAAAGAAGCTTAGCAACCTATTTGTCACATTTTCAGGTTCACGTCTCCTTTCCGGCTGAGCTTCAGACACGACGAGGACGCTGCAGAAGCAGGAGGCGCAGAAAAAAAAATCTGAAGTAGAAACGTGTTACTCATCCGCAGATCGGCTCCAAATATTTACAACAGGATGAAAATCATATAAGATAAAGGCACCACGCTTCCTTTGTAAATACACTGTAAACATCTCCTCAGTAAGCATGCATAAACATTTTACTTTACAAAAAATATATTTTAAAAAAATGGACTTACATGTTTTCCGACAAAATATAATTCTTCCAAAAAATACTTTCTTGTCCTTCCTACAGCCCATTATCACATAGTATCATACATCCTTATAGCTTATCTCAGAATCCTCAATTTATAAACAGCAACATATAGGGCAGCAAAGAGAGCAGGAATCGTTGGTGGGTAAACTACATGCTCGCTCTTCATTTTTATCATATTAATATCATCCTTGTGTAGTTTTCTGCCCTCCTTCCATTGCAGGTCAAGTGCAAGACCATATTATAAAATCTTTGCAGGTCCAATGTAAGAAGATATTATATATATACACACATTTTCTTTTAACTAAGAAAAGTTAAAGAATACTAATGCCCGATAATTTGTGTGTGAAGCAGGCGACAGAGGTTCCAATATGAGGGATGACAACTGAAAAGGCAGATCACTATCGACTCTCCCGATTCTCCTCCCAAATTAAAGACTCCTTGCAGTCTTACCGATCGCTGCTTCTCAGCTCTCATATCGTCAGCTGGGATACAGACTACTAGCATTAATGCAGATGTTACCCTACTTCGGGGAGTATTAATTTAAGCTCTGATGACGGTTTGGTTTGGTTGGAGGGGATGAAATTTACAGGCTTTTGTCAAGTACAAATCTTCATTCGTTGGGCATTTTTGAAGGACAATTTATAAGTTCATTTTCAGGTCCCAGGTGTAATTTAAGTTTCTGCCAATCTTCAGTTTTTTGTTGTCCATTATGAGGATTTCTTTTCAGCCTACGTGTTTAGATATATTTTTAATGCTGTACTGACTACAATTACCTTGTTACAAATTATCGCCGATCTGAGCAGACTAAAACATAGGCCTACTTATAAGAATGTGAAATCTGTATTCTGGTTCCTGGAATTTCGGGGGTTTGCACAGAGTGCCAGTTTTAACTATAGACCCTGGGAGATGGGTTAAAAAAAATCCGGGGAATGTTATTGTCGGCCCACCGCACATAGAAAGGAGAGGTGAGGTAACTCACATTAATTCAATATGAAAAGAACTTTTAGGCCGGTACGGAAACTCGCATATGTCTTTGAAGCCAGAAACCACATAAAAGCCCCCCAACCTGTGACCATTTCACCTCTCGCCTACGGTCATCAGGATGTGCCGTTCAAACGTGACGTCATCCTCTTTTCTTCCTCCTCCTCCGCTCCGTGCCGCTGAGGTCATATGTACGCATTAAATGCCTGACTTGTGTTTAGTCTTTCTTCAAAGCTGAATCGCATCTCTTTAAATTTACAGCATGGTTTCGTTGGTTAAGCCCTTAAATTACGTCACATTTATACCTGCATTTGCCCTTATAGATGTCCTAAATTTCCTCAGGGATGTCTATAGGGTGTAAGTGTGTGTGTGTGTGTGTGTGATGGCTGCTTTAAAACAAAACGGTCTCTGCTGAAATTGTCATTAGATACAGTTATTGGCATCCTGCATCCTCAACCAGGCATGATTAAAGGACTTGCGAGTTAAGGTTCCAGTGACTGAGAGTGTTATACAGAGGCGGGACCAATGGCTTTATATCCACTCAAGCAGTGGTCTTTGGGGGGGGGGGGGGGGTAGACGTTCAGTCCTTTTCAGTGTCGTCCACCGCTATTCTCCTCCTGGCTGGTCCAGCTGACCAGAGCCGGTGGTAGGCCGAGCTCCCGGCTCTGTGGCATCGGACGGGGCTGACCGGCTCAGGCTAATTTAAGGCAGCTCCTCCTCTTCTGCAGGGTTTCCCTCCGGAGTCACTTTTTGTGAAAGTAGAGTGTGTGGGTCAGACCTGATTCTACCTTTGGTATCTGGTCACTAATGATCTCCACCAGCATCTCAGGAAATTCCACCTTCAGCGCCTGGGACTCCCGGAAGGTGTAGAAGCAGAAGTCCAGAAGATTCCCCACCAGCTGGAGAAATGAACAGATTGCAGCCTTTTGTGATTACATTTGCACTGCCGAATTCCAGAACTCCCTCATCTGTGCCCATATCCCCTTCCTGACTTCCAGCGAATAACAAGCCCCAATCGCAGCACCTGTTTGGCTTGTTATCGTAAGCGGCACTTGTGACAGTATAACTGAACCGTTCCTGTAAATTGCCACGTGTTCTCCCAGCCCTCTAAGGGTCATCTAAGGGTCGGGTTGAGTCGGGTAACCATCAGTAGGTCTGCTCAGAGACCCAGCTCCCTCCTTCCTGGGACCCATGTTAGGATTTTGCCGCGTGAGCAGCACATCAAACCACCCAGCTTCCCGCTGTCCCAGTACGTGTTGGGAGCACCCTGCTGTGTACTCACGTCATGCATGGCATCCAGGAGCCTGGTGAGCTGGTAGAAGCGTGGCCACGTCTGGCCCGAGGGCCCCGTGCTCTTGGCTATGGATCTCCGCAGCTCCTTGATGTAGTTCATCCGCATCTCCTCGAAAGCCGCCTGGTTCTTCAGGCCATCTTTAGGAACTGTCGGGTCAGAGGAGCATGCGAGGTCACAGGCAGCTCATCACACACTCGACGCCGCCTAGGAACCTCCACTGGGTATCAGTGTTTATACCACACGGTCTATAGGTCTTTGAAGACGCTCAAGTAATGGTCACTGTGCACTGCCTATAACCACGTCAAGGGATTGAATGTGCACTTTACGGACAAAAGTATTGGGACACCCCTAGTAATTACAGGATTTGGTCGCATAAGCCACAGCCATTGCTGACTTGCAGGTGTACAGTATAATTAAGCACACAGTCATGCAACCTACAGCATCAGACAATGGCAGCAGAATGGGGGGGTCATACAGAAGAGGTTAGTCAGCCCAGCACTGTCACTGGACACCTTTCCAGCAAGTCGGATCCCCACATGTCTGTCCTGCTAGAGCTGCCCTGGTCAGCAGCGAGTGAAGTGATTGTGAAGCGGAAAGATCTGCCAGCAAGTTCAGCTGTTCAGCTTCAAAGTGGGGGCCACACAAGCTCACAGAGGGGGACCTGATCACCCAACATCAATACCCAACCTGAATGGCAGCAGATCCCACCTGCAATGTTCCAGCATCTAATGTGAAGCCTCCCCAGAGGAGTACAGGCCGTCATAGCAAATAAGGGTTAGCCGGCTTCATGCTAATACCCTGTGATTCAGAGTGAGACGCTGGACAGGCTGGTGGTAACATACTTTTGCCCTTATAGTGTATTTTAAAATATTTATAAAAATCATTTTCATTACACCATAACATACAAAATACAATCATCTCAAAAGCAAGTCTGTTGTATTGTAGGGACAGGGTTTTGACATTGAGGATGCTTATAGGCCTGTCGCCCGTCGCCCTGTCGCCTGTCGCCTATCGGCCTGTCGCCCTGTCCGCCTGTCGCCCTCACCTTAACACATGCTGTTAACACTGGGCTGGTTTCTGGTCGGTGCCACTTTACAATAAGGCTCCTCATATAAAGGGTTTATGAATGGTTTATAATCTAGTTTAATAATTAGGTTGTAACACTTTATAAATTATTAATAGACAGTTTTAAACAAGTTACAACACAGTTTTCTTTTTATTAATGAGTTACTACCATTTACAAGTAGCAAAAGGGGGCCCTTATTGTAAAGTGGATCCAGGAAGTCATTTACAGTTTGATGAAGAGAAGGGGATTCGAGAAACCAGCGGCAGGGTTTGGCTCAGACGGGCCGCATCACAAAGGTGACGGTGGATGGGGACACTCGTCGATACCTGGGCCTTCTAGTCCACAAGCATCATTTACAAATGACAAAGCTAAAAATACATTTACAAAGATGGCATTTCATAAGAGCCGGCCTGACAAAACCCCGGAAGGGTTTTAGATTACAGAAGTGGGAGAGGTAGCTGGCTGGGTAGAGGACGGCTCACACACCCAGCACAGATCACCGATTCCCAGCAGTGGCTCTCAGCCTTAGCCACCAGTTTGTGGGCAAGCATGTGGAGATAAACAAGGTGGCTGGTATCAAATGGAAGGATGTTTTCTGGTCTGGGAACCTACACTGCCAGGTCACAAGATTCCTTCAGCGCTTAAGTTGAAATCTGAGCTGTCACTGGATGACTCAGCCCACGGTCCCCTAAGCCAGGACCAATGGGTGTCCGTCCTATCCTTAACAGACCATCATGAACCAATCAGCTGAAATGCTGAATAGCAAACATGAAATGGGGAAAGAGAGAAAACATTTTAAAATCAGATTTAGACAATATAAATTAGAAGTTCAGGCAGCGAATAATGAAGCTGTTCTGTTTAACGACTGCAGGTCTGTCTAACCGGAAAGTCAAGCCCAGAATCTCAAACAGCCAGCGGGCTTAACTGACACTCCGGCAAAGCCCAACAAACTTCAACACGAAGCAGAAAATGACGGATGCGGGAACACCGGCCCCAGATGCCAAACGGCATTCCCGGGATTCCTCCTGGACCCTCCGGTTGTCATTAGGCTGCTTAGGAGGATCTCGACATGATGTCCCCCCCCCACATACTCTCTGACCCACACGGTGTCCACCAGTTATGCCAGAGTAATGCTGTCCTGTCCAATGTCTGTTTCATTGCAGTAGCAGCACTAATTAGGCAGTTTACTCAGTGGAAATGCTTATTAACCATTTACACCCTCCTGCTCAGCTTCACCACTGCGCGATTCTTCATATGCTGTTTTTTGTGATTCGAGTCCATGCCATTCGGCCTGAAAGTGGTGCTGAATGGGAAGGTGATCTCGGCTGCTCTGATCCAGTCAGAAAAGCGCTGGTCTATGGCCCCAGCTCCGATTACAGCTCCCCTCTGGTGTCGACAGACCACATGTCCACCACACCCACAGCTGGCGGAATAACTCAGGACAAGGGCTCATCACCCAGGAAGGCCAAGGGCAGCCTGCATTTACGGCGTCACTGCTTCGCTACAATATGACAAATCTAACAGCAGCCTTGAGGAGGTCGCACCTGAGTCCCCTGGCATCAGTGCTGTTGTATTCCTCAGCAGTAAACCCTGGGACATTAAATACTCAACTAACGATGAGAATAAACACAGTAAAAAAAAATACTATGAAATGAAACTCTCAATAGAAAACACAACCAAGAGGATTATGGGTATTATGTGTGAGCTTTAATGGGCTAAAAGATCTAAAGGTGCCACAAGATTTAAGAACAACAGAAGTAAAAACTAAGAGCTTAACAGGCTAATTCTCTGTTCCTGCATCGCCATGGAAACAGCTTTCAGTCAATAAAAGCAGCATGTCGTTATTACATCAGTAGGCCGATCTAGCATTTCTGGTCGTTCGGCTTCAGCCTCAAATCTTGTGCAATTAACAGTCAATTATGAAAGTTTATGTTTCGGATACCTGCAGATTTTATATATTATGCTGTTCTACATAAATCCTCCAAGTTAGCATACACTTAGCATTTATCGCTTAGCATGTCGCTAATTGCCTGTGAATGGCAGTAGCCCTGTGTAGTAGTCCTGAAAAGACTCCGACACGTAAGGGATAAATAAAACCTGAGAGCTTAAACGCAGACAGCTGAACACGGGGATTCGTTAAAGTACGGCCATTTTCACAATATCAAGTTTCAGGTGAAACTGGCATTTTTCTTTGTTGACTGTCCAGCAGATACAGCTGAAGGTTCTCTGCCGAGATCGTCATGACATTCCTTTCTCCTGCCAGGCTGCCCTGAGCAGAAGGAATGCTCCTTCCATATTCAGGCTCACGTTTGAAGGAAATCGAGGAACGCAGGCACTTCTGGACGACGGCCCAGAGCCCGACTTAGCGAGCACTGCAGGACCCCTTAAAGTCTAACCCCACGCCTCCTCCTCACGCGAAAAGCGTGCGCCACACCTCTGAGGCAGTCAGGGCCGGTTTGATTTCGAGTCCTAATGTTCATGTAAGCACTCAGCATGGTGCAAACAGAGCACTCGGCGAATTAAGATAAGGTCAGGAACCAGGAAGTACCTGTTCATAACATCGTCTCCCATACCGAAGTCTTTGTATGCATGCATGTGACTCAGATCAGATTATATGCCGTGTGGGGTAGAAACGTGGAAGCTGGTACAGGGAGGGCCAGTCCAACAGTGTGACCCCCCTCCCCTCGATAGCGCCCTCACCTGTGCTGAGAAGCAGCAGAACCTTCATGGCTAGGAACTCCTCGTGGGTCAGCTGCAGCCGCACGAACTCCTGGCTGACCTGCCTCATGCCCACGCAGAGGTCGTACATGGCTGACTGCTGCATGCGCTCCCTGGTGGTGGGGGAGGGAAGGACATAGGCGGTCAGGACACATCACCCGGGACCATTGGAGGACACCACACTGCACACGGAACGCAAGCGGCAGGGTGATCTATCAACATCACCTGTCTGCTGTCTGTGCATTAATGGGTATAAGATGTCCTGAAATCTCCCTGCAGAACGACATTCACACATCACCAGATCTCACCTCAGTGCAACATGCATTCACGCTCACAGCAGAGAAATTAACAAGGACGACGTAACACGACAGGATGGCATCCTCCCCAGGAAACAGCGAGGGGGCGGAGCCAGCCCTGAGAGGATGGGAGATGCACTCCACATATGTCACACGGTAATGGGAATCTGGATCCTCTCATGCACGAGTTAGCGAAACGGCTAAAACATCTCCTGGTCCGCTAAACCCATTACATCCGAATCCTAAGGGGGGGGGGAGGCTGTCTCTGTGAAACTCCGCATGTCTGCTGTGCTCTTAGTCTTTCAGCTGTTCAAAATTATTTAAGGGAACATTCAATCCTGAGTATATTATGGTCATTTAGAATAAGCAAAACAACTGGTTATTGCGAATGCTAAATAGGTGTGAATTCTGCAGCTATTGCCAGCAGACTGGCTGGTTACCAGCCTTGATTAGGGATCCGTCTGACTAACAGGCAGCAAAACACATGACTGAGAGACAGATCACACCAGATCATGGCTGATCATCTGCATGTTGGGGATCCCTGCCATTGCTGCAGCAAGATGGCTGCCTTTCTGCACAGACACAGAGTGGACCGGCACCTTGGACAGGCCCCCAACTCCATCAGCCTCTGCCTTCACTTCCAAACGCTCACCTCTCCCGACAAACAAGCTCCTGGTTGCTATGGGAGATCCGCTGAATAATTACTACAGAATCACCTCTTCAGCCAATGGGAGCCACAGAGGCATGGGTGGAAGCAGCACGGACACCAGGCTGAGAGCAACGGAACACTGGCAGACCAGACACAGATGAAGAGACGGCAGGCTGAATTCTAAGACCATTCCTACAAGCGTCTTCAAAGATGTCTTTGGTTTATGCTTTAAAATGTTCTTTTCGTTTGTAATAATATTAGCTTTTTGTCGCTACTGGTGTGACATCATAAAAGGAGCTAAGAAACTGCACGTAAGTGTGGTCCGACCCATGGCTTAGGGTTTCCCTTTGGGAAGCTGGAATCGGGTCAGAGTCCATGTGAGTCACATGGGGACAGTAATGTCACCACCAAAGTAACACATCCTTAGCTGCCTGCCTTTATGACCGCTGTGCCGAAAGGAACAGGCTGTAACGATTTGAGTCCTTGGCAAGATCCAATCTTAAGTTAAACTCCGACACGAGGGGACGGGTGTACTGTTTGGTGACATCAGCTTTAGGTCATTCTGAAAGTGACCTGCAGGGGTCAGTGCAATTTTGCTCGTGCAGTTAACAGTCACTTATGAAAGGGTTTGGATGCTGTTCAACCGAATAGTTACTTCAGCATTAGTTCAAATACAAGAACTCGTGGCCATAGGTGGAAATTAGCGGGAGAACATTTCAAACTGGATTTAAGGAAGCACTTCTTTACACAGC